ACACATATCTATATAAATAGAGAACTGATACTGGTTTCCTATACATATCTATATAAATAGAGAACTGATACTGGTTTCCTACACATATCTATATAAATAGAGAACTGATACTGGTTTCTGACACATATCTATATACATAGAGAACTGATACTGGTTTCCTACACATATCTATATACATAGAGAACTGATACTGGTTTCCTACACATATCTATATACATAGAGAACTGATACTGGTTTCCTACACATATGTATATAAATAGAGAACTGATACTGGTTTCCTATACATATCTATATAAATAGAGAACTGATACTGCTTTCCTACACATATCTATATAAATAGAGAACTGATACTGCTTTCCTACACATATCTATATAAATAGAGAACTGATACTGTTCCTACACATATCTATATAAATAGAGAACTGATACTGGTTTCCTACACACCTGACAGTACCAACGTGTTTAACCAGTAGATACGAACAAAGTAACAACGGACTTTACCTGACAGTACCTTCGTGTTTAACCAGTAGATACGAACAAAAGAACAACGAACTTTACCTGACAGTACCATGGTGTTTATCTTGTAGATCCTAACACAGGAAAAACGGACTTTACCTGACAGTACCTTCGTGTTTATCCAGTAGATACGAACAAAAGAACAACGAACTTTACCTGACAGTACCATGGTGTTTATCTTGTAGATCCTAACACAGGAACAATGGACTTTACCTGACAGTACCATCGTGTTTATCTTGTAGATCCTAACACAGGAACAACGGACTTTACCTGACAGTACCTTCGTGTTTATCCACTAGATACGAACAAAAGAACAACGGACTTTACCTGACAGTACCATGGTGTTTATCTTGTAGATCCTAACATAGGAACAACAGACTTTACCTGACAGTACCATGGTGTTTATCTTGTAGATCCTAACACAGGAACAACGAACTTTACCTAACAGTACCATCGTGTTTATCTATTTGTTTAAATATTTACGTTATGATTTTCAAACACTAATTAGCTTTCTGTTTATCATGAGATATTAGAATTATCAAATTTCACCCTCTTCCGAGCTATCGACCACGTCATTACTTCATTGATACACTTGTCCTGTAGCTATAGTGTCATGTGACTTAGCTACGAGACATAAACATATTTTAATAAGCTTAACAAAATACACCTAAAGTCATCAGTTTGAATCTAAAAGTTCCATTTGTATTTTTGTAACAGTGTTTATTGTGAGCATTTTATCTACTTCTCTAAACACTCGTGTAATCATTTAAGGTAAATGTGGAGCTTGGTTCTCTGGAGGTTTTGAGAAGTGAAACTTTACAACAATCATCGTAATCACAAACAACTATTTCTAATTTGTTGAAAGTACCTAAAGTATCATTCATTTTTTGTCTAAGTTCTTCATCCTGAAGATGCGTGGAACCGAATACAACAAACTCCACCAGATGGCGCTAGTGCACACAAGAGTGCCAGTCCTTGTGAATCCAGGTCCTCCCGATCAACGCCACCTAGTAGGAAAAATTCAATGCAGTTAACTTCACGAGATAGTCTTCCAGGTAAACAAAGGTTAAAATCAATGATGCAAATGTTATATATTTAATAATCATTTGTTGTTTCCAGGTAAACAATGTGTAGGAAAGCAGTATCAGTTCTCTATTCATATAGATATGTGTAGGAAACCAGTATCAGTTCTCTATTTATATAGATATATGTAGGAAACCAGTATCAGTTCTCTATTTATATAGATATGTGTAGGAAACCAGTATCAGTTCTTTATGTATATAGATATGTGTAGGAAACCAGTATCAGTTCTCTATGTATATAGATATATGTAGGAAACCAGTATCAGTTCTCTATTTATATAGATATGTGTAAGAAACCAGTATCAGTTCTTTATTTATATAGATATGTGTAGGAAACCAGTATCAGTTCTCTATTTATATAGATATGTGTAGGAAACCAGTATCAGTTCTCTATGTATATAGATATGTGTCGGAAACCAGTATCAGTTCTCTATTTATATAGATATCTGAAGGAAACCAGTATCAGTTCTCTATTTATATAGATATGTAGAGGAAACCAGTATCAGTTCTCTATTTATATAGATATCTGAAGGAAACCAGTATCAGTTCTCTATTTATATAGATATGTAGAGGAAACCAGTATCAGTTCTCTATTTATATAGATATTAAAGTCCGTTGTTCCTTTGTTCGTATCTACTGGTTAAACACGGTGGTACTGTCAGGTAAAGTCCGTTGTTACTTTGTTCGTATCTACTGGTTAAACACGTGGTACTGTCAGGTAAAGTCCGTTGTTACTTTGTTCGTATCTACTGGTTAAACACGTTGTACTGTCAGGTAAAGTCCGTTGTTCCTTTGTTCGTATCTACTGGTTAAACACGTGGTACTGTCAGGTAAAGTCCGTTGTT